CCCAGTCCAAAACAAACAACACGTGCTGTTTAACACTATTGTCAAGGTACTTCCATGTGAGAAGTCAGGAAAAGTGGCCTTTTACGTGTTCCAGACCTTATACTCTGTGCTTTGGGTGTGTGCTTTGCTTTCCAACTTCCCAAGAAATCCAGGGGCTGCAGCTTTTGGGGGGTTTTGGGGTTTTAAAATCCTAATGCAGATTATAAGTGTTGTTGCTATTTCAACTAAAGTTTAATAGATGGGAGAGAAGATTCCTAACAAATTCTGATCATAGCATCAGTGAGCAAGAATCATGGTGACTATTGGAGCGCCAGAAATCTTTAAAAAAAAAAGATGCCTGATTTATAGTGCTATTTTTAGTACTGAAATATCCAAAAGCAAAAACTGCAGGAGGATAATGCAAGGAATAAAGAGAAAGTAAGATGTGAAGGACCTGGAGCTACCAGTTGTTAATGTGAGTTTGATGCTATGCTATCTGAGCAGAACACACCTCTAAATACTGGCTTTCATTTGACTCGCTGAGCAACTCATTTTGTGGTAGGCTGATAATTGACTGGATAGTGCAGTTTATTCTCCATAAGAATGTGAGTTGATATGAGGCTAACCCACCATTAAGCATTCCCTTGCCAGCTCAAACAGGCTCTTATTTAGTACCGTTACTCAAAAGCGGAAATAAATAATGACAGGCAAAAAAAGCCCTCCTATGGTAAAAACTAACAATTAAAACTCCAGCGGATGTTAAGGGATTAATTTTTCATGGTGTTAAAATGCAATGGGCATATTCACCATTGTTCTTTTGGCATTGTGAATTCATCGATGTCTGAACAGAAAGGTAAAAGCCTTAACACATGTATTTAATGACTTAGTCCCCTTCTTTATTTTAAACCTATAAAAATTCTAGAGATCTGTCCCGGCAGCCTGTGGAGGTGGGGAAGGAGATGCTAAAGCCATTCTGTTTGTGAACAGAAAATATTCTTAATTCAAAACATAAAATGTCATAATTGTTCTAAAGCACTCAGCCTATTATGAGTTAATGCCAAAGCCGTGTTTTTGTAGTCGCTATTTGAGGGAGAAGAGAAGACATCTTAATTAAACTCTGCCTTTGTTAAGAACATCAGAAAAGCTACTGACAGAGTGTGCATGCTAACCGCAATCGTGCATCCTGCCGTCACCAGCGACAGGGAAAAAAAGCAACAAAAGCGAGCTGCAAGTGGCTGCTGTCATACAGGTTACTGTGGAAGAGAGGCTTGAGAAGCTGTTGCTTTGTCCATTGAATACAGTATCTTTGAATTTTTAGCGACAACTTCTAATAACTGCAAGTCAGAATAATTCTTTCCATGGTGGGGCATTACAGACTTGTGACACTGAACTGTTCGACATCAGAAGTCAAGGTGCAAAATAAGGTCAATAAAAATCATTTGGAGACATTGAACTGTTCTTTGATTTTGATCCATGGTGAACTTTGTTCATTTGGGTTTTTTTCCCCTGAAGTCAAGGTGTTTAAAATTAAATAGAAAATGTATTTTTCACATAATCACCTGGTTGTTATGGCTAGGACTTTAAGTGAACTAGTAGCTAAAAATTTATAATGAGATCATGAGAGCTGGGACTTCTGGTGGGATTGTCTACTCTCATTCTTTTCATTTATGTTTTATTATTTTGCTGTATTCTCTTGCCATTCCCTTTCTCTTTCATGTGAGAAGAAAAAGGCATGCATAGGACATAAAGGGTAAGGGTAATTGCTGGTCTGTTTACTTGTATCACTGTGGTGGGAGTTAAAAAACATAATGTACCCAGGGCACCCGTGGACAGGCAGCATCAGTCTTCTACTGGTGTTTCAGGGCATTGCTGATCGCTCCTGCTTTCTAGCAGACAGTGTGTATGGGGGGAAGGTGTGGTTAAGAAGCATTTGAGAAACTCATCTGAAGCTGGGACTGTTCCTGTAGTATTATTAAGTGACAATGGGTAGACAAAACACCAGAGAAATACAGGGACTAGCATATTTCTCTTTTCTTCTCTGCTTGCTGCCCAGGTACCTCGAAAAGGACCTGAAAGAATCATTTATCTTTCTGCAGGGAGAAGAGATAAATCCCTTGCTTGACAGGATTGTCTGCTTCATCTTGGATATATTTACCTTGAGGCTGTATGGAGTAGATTTTTTGACTATTGCTTATTATGACATGCATTGAGATTAATGAGTCATTTTATACAACCCCATCACTAAATCTGGGTTGCTTTTTGGCTAAGATCAAAGAAATACCATATCTTGTTGTCCAGTTCCCCAGTTTCGTGAGCACTGTTCAGCTAAACATTTAGTGGTCACTTACTTTGATTTGTAGATCCAAAGTGCTGTGATACCTAGTAACTAAATGTTATGATCAGGAACTAGTAAAAAAATGCATGATTAAATTACTTGTCAGGAATAAAAGTTTTAATTTGTTAAGGACAGGTGGGATTTTCAGGTAAAAAAGATGTTCTTAGGAGGGTGAGTAAAAAAGGTTCTAATAATCAACAAGAAGAAAGTAAAAAGAAAGCTGCAGTTGCTACGTTTCCTGGGGGAAAAAAGACCATTTTTGCCATTTATTAGTCTAAAGAGATGTATTCTGCACAATGAAAATATTAATTAGTAGCACATTATTAGTTGTAAATTCCAGTTTCAATGAAACATTCAAGTCAAAGAGACATTTGGGGACAATTTTTTTTCAGTTCTCTGGCAAATGAAATCATTAAAGTTGTATACCAGTGAGATGAAACACATGAGTAGGATCCTCTGGTCTCATGCTATAATAGCTATTATTTTGTTGTGTTTGGACTTGAGTGAACAAAGAAATGGGGAATTCATACCCTGTCTCATCACAGCCTGAAATGCTAGCTGAAATGCATAGCTATTCACCAAATTCTTTTCATTCAGATGAAATTTTGGAGAGTTGGTAAAGTAGAGTTAATTTTAAATAATGCTTTTGGCAAAAACATAGATAAATGATCGTGCAATTTCTTGTTAGAAACTAGATTTTATTTGTGGATTTAGAAAAATTGATGCAATGAGTCACTTCTAAGTTTTGCATTTTTCCCTTGAAGCAGTAGGTGTAAACAGCTGGTGATAGTGAGTTGACTGTCATTTGCCTTCCTATAAGATACTTCTTTGAGCTAGAAGTGATGAGAAAGAATCATTTATTCATGATTCTTTGGGTGTAGAAACTGTTTTTCAAAATACTAATATTTTTCTTGTAAATACTTTTTAAAGGTCTATTTTTAATAATTTTGTTTCAATATTTATCTTTAGTCTTTAAAGATGCCATTTTAATATGTGTAAAGTGAGTATGTTTAAAATCATCAGTTTGGAAGTGAATATGGAAAGCATGTGTTAATAGGAATAATGCCTGTGTAAAATGAACTCTTAATTTTTGAATTACGAAAATATTTTTGAGTTGCCTGATAAAGTTGATTGAGACAATACATTCAAAGTAAACACAGTTTATTTTTTATAAAGATTAAAAGTATTTGTTTCTGAATATTCTTATATAAAGACAGAGAAACTTTTGCTAATGTAAAAATTTAATAAAGCAAAATTTGCAGTTAAAGGCAAAAAAAAAGTTGTAATGTGCTTACATGTTGATCATCAAATGTTGATATTATTTATTTCCATGCCTCAAATGTCTTACAGTGTTAATATGTATAGTAACAGATTCTATGATATTTACAATTTAATCTTATCTTTTTAACTTAGATGGGTTTATTGTTTAATATGACTTTGTAATTTGGATATTCAAGAAAAAACTTGCCACTTTCACAATCATTTCATGGAACTGATCCTCCGTAGAAAGCTTCAGAGCATCCCACTCAGAGGCAGTGTTGTTTATTACTGTTTATTTTCACCTCCCCTTAGGATAATGGGACTAACCCAGCATGATTGATTGTGAGAGCAATTACACACAAATTCAATGAGCATTTTATATTCTGGCCACAGGGTTGCATGGAAATAATTTCTGGTGTTGTTAGAAGTTCACCTGTTCATCTTATTACGTATCTGTCTTAAAGTCTCTATGATTTTAGTTCATAATTGCACAGTTAAGCATGATATGATACCGATGCTTTTAGCGCCATGTCCCCACAAGTTTATGTCCTGGCTGCCTGGAGTTGGGCCTAATAGTTTATGTTTAACAATATTAAAACCACATCATCACACAGAGGTAGTGCTGTTGATGTGATGTCCTTTCCTCAGCACTGAACCACTTCTGCAGCAGCTTAATTTATGATTTGGTAAGGCACCATCCTTGAGATGAATCACAAAGTTGTGGCTTGGCAGCCCAATTTTTGGCAATTTTCATGAATGCAGAGTATTAAACAGGGTAGCTTAACTGTTCAGCTACCTGAATTTCCCGTATACTTTTAGCTTACTGAGGGTTTTCTCAGGTTTTCTCCTCTGTTGAAACATGGTTATATCTTGCCCTGACTGCGGATGCTATTCCCTGGGGGGTGGGAGAGGGCAGGTGAATTGTATCCACTTCTAGATTGGTAAATATTTTGGGAACTCTTCAGATGGGACTGTTACAAAATATTAAACCAGATAAGTTTATAACTATTGGTATATAGTGAAAGCAGACAGATCTTTTTGTGTAAGTGTCCTTAAAACTTATGTGAAGTATAGTAAGTTACTCACTAATATGAAATGAGTAGGGTTTTTCAATTTCTAAAATTTTTTGCAGGCCTTGATCTAGTTTAAGTCTTTGATTATGGGTGTTTGGGGTATTCCTGTTTTCAGTGTTTTGTCTCTGTTGATTACAATGAAGGATGTTGGAGACAGACAACGGGACACGCAACTGGCCTAACAATACTCTGCGGCGAGATTTTTCTCCAACTCCATCAGGAGCTGTCCTGTTGTAGTACTTACTTTTAAGACAGCAATGCTGCTTCACCAAACTTCCTCCTACAGTGAGAGAAGTAGGGATAACTCTTGGAAAAAGTTTTGAGGCTAGTGACAAAATATGTTTGTCTTTCAGATCCCCAGCTCAAGGGTATAGTGACCAGGTTATATTGCAGGCAAGGCTACTACTTGCAAATGCACCCCGATGGAAGTCTCGATGGAACCAAGGATGACAGCAGTAATTCTAGTAAGTGACTGCCCCAGGGGAATGTCTTAATCACACACGCAGTTTGCATTGCTCGAGTGTGTATGCGCAGACACGGTGTTAATGCCTTTGGAGGGTTTCTGAATGTGTTTTGTCGAAAGGAGAAGGGTTTTGTCCCTTCGAAACCTAATGACCGCCAGCACAGTTTGTGCAGGACATTGGCTTAAATATATTCCCTCTGCAGGGGAAGCCCTGAGCGCTGATGAACCTCAGGGGTGAGATATTTAGGCCAATGGTTGTCTTTCGGTGATTTCACAAGAATGATAAAATTCAAGATATATTTTATAAAAGCAATATATGTAACATAAATTTCTTATCTTCAAGTAATTGACAAACCGAACAACAACAACAACAAAAAAGGAAACAAATTCTTTGAAAAATCTGATCATGTGGCCCTAATTCAGCAAGGCAAATAAGTGTATGTCCAACTATCAAAGTCCTGCTTAAAACACATGCTGAAATATCTTGCTGAATTGGGGCTAAAGACCCTAAAATCCCTATACCAGCAAGAATTCCACTGATTTTAAGAGAATTTCTGCCAGTGTGGGGACTGCGACAGTAGCAGTTTTCAAAAATATTCCCAACAAAAGTGGTCTTGAAAGGTTGTGTGGGTCACTGCTTTGGTACTCTTTTCCTATGATACTGCCACATGTTTTCATTCAATGAGTATATATACAATTGATAATTTCAGCTGCAAATTATAATTAAGCAAACCTATTGTTACACTAGAAACAGTTTATTTTAAATTTTCTGTTTAGCAGAGAACATTTGTAATTTGTTTATTTTAATGATAATGGCATATTTAAGTAACATATTTCTGTGTGATCTTGAGGTCTATTTTAAACATTTTTAATACAAAAGATTTATTTTCTTATTATGTATGTATACATAAGCCTCTACCTTCCTAAAAAATGTTGGAATTAGGTTATAGAAATTAAGGGATTTGAGCGTTCTGCTTTACTTTGGTTAGGTGCCTGTTTTATCTGCTAATGCACGGCTGTCATTTTTAACACATTTCGTCAGCAGATAGCATGATCTTTTATTGTTCTTTTTTTTTTTTTCTTTAAACTGAGAAAAATAATTGATATATCTATTTTGATGTGTATTTCTCTGCTTCTTTTCCAAGTATCTTTTTTTCTCCCCTGTTCCTCGTTTCTTTTCTTCCCTCAGTGTGTCCATGTCTTACACCCACTTCTGTACTGGACCAGACACTGAGACTTTGTACAGACAAGACCATTATTGTTTTTTATAGAAGCTTTGCCTATCTGAAGCCCAAGAAATGTGTCTTACAGTGCAAGCGTGTCTCTCTCTCTCCCTCTCCTTCTCTCTCTGCTTATCTTTCTCTTATTTTCAGCTTCAGTGAGGAGGTGTGTATGACTGCAACAATTTTGGAAAGTTTTATGTTATTTCTGGTTTTTTTGTAATCTTAGAACTCTAGGGATTTTGAATATTTGCAAAGCTAGACCATAGTGCCTTACTTTCCTCTTTTTGCTGTTATCAGCTTTACAAATCTTCCTTATATTGCTTACTACATCCTTTTCCCTGCTTCTCCCCCCTTCCCTGCCTTTCTGGATTTCCGTTTGTCTGCCCCTCTCTCTTCTCAGTTGTTCCAATATCCATAATGAACGTTCTATATTATAGATATTCTAAAATGTAGAACTTCTCCAAACCCAACCAAATACCAGATAGAAGTATTGCAGATTTTGGATAAGTACTGTTAGATAATATTGTATTTTACTTCCACATGACTTCTAAGCTAAAAAAAAGTTTTTTTCCATGAAGCGATTTTTTTTTTCTCTTTAGCTGGTGTGATTCACTATTTGTTTCTTCACTAGTCCAATTTTACAATATTGTAAACTAAAGACAGGTTAGGCCATAAGGGTGTAAAATGAATGTGCTTGCCAGGAAAGCATACAATCTCCCCCTTAAATTTTGCTAGTATATATGATACATATTGAGAGTTGAGAAGATTGATCCATTTTGGTATATTCATGAATATATGAATGTGTCTGCTTCTTTTGTGCTGTCAGTCTTTCTCCTCAGTTCTTTTCCCTTTCCACCATTTACTTCCATTACCTGATGAACTTAGTGTTTCCTATTCCTTATTTACCTGATGAACTTAGTGTTTCCTATTCCTTTTCTTTATTGCAACATATTTTGTGTTTTCTTTTTACTTAAAAAAAAATCATCTCATGGGTAGAATTCCTAGCCTTTTCATCTTTTATTTTGTGAGCTCCTTATCATGATAATTTCTGTCTGAGGCTTACCAGTAAATAAATTTTGGCAGATGCTAGAGGAGAAGGTATGGCCCCATCCTGATGGGCTCTGCTTGGGAGGGGGAAAATCCTGCTTCTGCCCAGCTTGCGGGCTGCCTATTTAATGCACCCTGTGTGTGAAGGGATAGGCATATATAAGATAGCTGTCAGTAGGACAGATAGTACTGTCCTTGATAATGAGGCTGACTTCCATTTAATGTGTGTTTTATAAAAATGGAGGAAGTAGAGACTGCTGAAGGGTGTGCATTCTGCCAGCCTTCCACCCATCTTCTGCACTGTTCACTGTCCCTGAAGCCTGTGAAAGAGTCCTTCTCACACGCTGACCATCTGAGCAGCTGGGTGTTGGAGAAGCCAGAGTGAGTGGATTAACAAGGGACAGAGAAGTGATTTTTGTTTTTTTTAGTTCGGCAAGAAAAGTGTTTGAAGCTTAGTCATGCTCTTCAGCAAGAAAAGTGTTTGAAGCTTAGTCATGCTGCTACTTTTTGTGCTGTTGCAATTTATTGTGTCAAGCGGTTACAGGACTGCTTGAAGTTAAAATTCCCTCAAGTGCATATATCATTTTGTACTCATTTTGTATGTATGCCAGTAAACATAAATTAACACAGTAGAGGTAGTGCAAAGATTAAGATGTAGTCTGTTCAAATTGAGTGGTTCTGTTCACAACCATTTTTTGTTTGTCTTTAAAGCTTCTTGGTAGTCTCTTTACGTGGATTTTGCTTCTATCTCAAGTCAAAATGAGTCTTACCAGTAGTTTCAGTCAGCTGCTACAGCTCAACCCATTATCCCAGTTTGCCTTAAGTTTGAGTAAAAGCTAGGGTCTGCAGAGATAGATGGCAAGATTTTTTTATCTATTGCTGTGCACAAACCCTGGCATGAAAAAGGAAGAAAGATGTGACTGCTTGTAATCGCGTCCCTCAATGTACTTTCATCTGCTCATGTTGGTGGCTGTGCTGTCAGAACCCAAACGAAATAGAGTGAAGGGCTTCAGTTCATCATTGTAGTTTCTGTATATTTCTTTACCAAGTTAGTGATGTTTAGTGACAGAGTACGAATTAATGTACCAATTGGTTAATGGTGCTAAGTTTCCTTAAATCACATCATCAGACCTAGGCTGTTAGCTTTAAACCATCTTGTGTTGTGCAGTCTGTATTTTTTTGCCAAACTCTCTGTGACTTGTGGAAAGAGGATTTATTACATCGATTTTCTTGTTTTAGCTGGTTTTCGCTTTTTCCGTCCTCTCACACCTTACAGTTTCTGGTTTGTTTTTGTGGTTTGCTTTTACTAAGTGGAGTGATGGTGGTTCAGGCTGCAGGCTTGGTTACTAAGGTCCTACTCTGCATAGCTGTCCCACTCTGTCTCTAATTTTCCTGGATTTTAACAGCAGTCCTCAGCTTTACTTGGTGTGAATGGAATTTCCTTCAGTGGCCATGTTCAGCCATGCTAAAAAGCATGTTTTAATTACATCTTGTGTCACGTCAGGGAGGTAGAATGGGTTTGCTCTATAAGAAATGGATGGACTGGTCTCTGAATACCAACTTCCCTGCCAATCTAAAAAATGTTCTGATGGAGTCATCATTTTTGCCTGTAGGCCTGCAGACAGAAACAAAGAAATAGTTGCCTTCATCTGATTGCAGATTTGATGCTGTGGGAAGTTTTGTTAACTGACACCAGGGCAGTGCGCATACATAACAGACAGCAAGTTTATAAGCCTTAAGCAATTAGTCTGTAGCAAGCTGCTTGAGAAAACCAGTAATCTGTACTGGCAATTTTCTTGTAGCTACATGTCAGTCGTACCTAAATAGATTTTCTCAAGGATATGGAAATATCTGATTTCAGGCAGTTCAGATTTCAAGTTAATATACTATGATGGTATTACATAAAAAAAGGAAAAAGGAAATGTTGTGGGTTTGTGTTGTGCTCAAGGAAGGACTTGTGACTTATCAAAAAGTGGATTTTAACTGTAACTTTGGCTAAAACTTTTGAAGGATTAGAATCCAACTCAAATTTGTTCCTGCAAATCCCCTCCACATCACCTAACACAATAACTTTTTTTATGCCAATTGTTGCTGTTAACTGCTGACCTCCACCCCCATTTTCTGATCTTGTGTGTGGTGGGAGTAGGCTTAGGGAAGGGAAGAGAAACCATCTGCTTTACAGCGGTGGTTTAGGTGGAATACAAAGCAAAGCTATGGGAGTGTGCACAGGCTCAGCGCCGAAGAGGAGAAAAGATTTTACTCACACCATTTTTGCCTATTGGCTCACTTGATTTCCCTGATATTCCCACGTTTTATTTACAGTTGATTTGCTAGGCTTATGCTTGAGTTTGCATCATGGGAGCACTGAGCACCAAGAAGACTTATATTTTCTGAGCTGTTCCAGCTCTCAACTCATCTGTGGACTCAACAGGCTGGGTTTAGGCACATAAAGATTTTCAGCATCTGAACTCCCCACTTAGTTTTGGGTTTGGATCGTCTTCAAGACAGAGGGAAGCTGGGGGCTTGGTTCTTTTTCACACCCCACTTAAGTAAGGGCTTAGCTTTGACTGTGAAGACCTGAAATGCCAGCAAACTCCGGAAAGCTTTCTCTTTTTCTCAAGGCAGGCTCTCATTAGAGTTGGGGATAGCACAGGTGAATCCTAGGAATGTTTGAAATGGGTAATTGGGCACAGAAGTTCTGCTCAGTAGCGAGTACTGCACAGCCAGGTTCTAGAGGAAATTGAATTTCCTTTGGCCAACTTCAGAGAACATAAAACCCACATGCTGACCTCAGGATGAAGCACATTGCTGAGCATTTATCAATCAATAACTGAATGTAGACTGACCTCCCTAGTTTCACACAAGTCTGAAAGATTTTTTGGAAAATACTGAATAATCTGTATGTGCAAAATTACAGCATTTCAGATCCCTCTAAAATTTTATGGTCTTAGACTAATTACAACAGCTCTGACAATCTCCGTGGCAGTAAAAGATACATTATATCCCCTCCTCCCTTCCTAAATTCGCCAGCAGCTATAAGCAGCTCTAGAAATTTTATAGGTTGCATAAAATATTGCCCTGTTACTGGCCTCTATTTCGCCTTCCATTTTGGTTGCTTTTTTCTAGCTTTGCTGCTTTATTTGTATTGGTAATATAGCAAATTATATCTGCGTTCCAGAAGCTTTGACTGAACCACTATGATTTGGAGTTATTTTTCATTAGCAGTTTTCCCTGGCTGACTTGTCTTTTGTGTTCACCTCTTTTCTTTATATGGGTATTGTTTGCTTTTCCTTCCTGATGTACCCCCAATTGTTGCTGCCCTCCCTCTAGCATGGTGTTCTTATCCAGGTTTCCTCCTGGAATTTCTTTTTTTCTAGAAAAAAACAAATTTATCGTCACCTGAAACATAGTTTTATTGTGGCAAACTCCCCCTCCACCACCCACAATATTGGGTTTTCCAGTTTTGACATCGTTTCATTTGAGGGTAATGGCGGACTGTTTTTTTAACTTTCAAATTATATTGAAAATTCAAAAGCCCTGAAGTCATGCAGTGTTTAGCCTATATAGTCTTAGGATATCTTGTCTGTGAGTGCCATATTTCACTGGTTTACACTTAAATAGATTAGAGAGGGAACCTTTTCTGCGTTCAGTGTTTTTCTAGTGAACAGCCCAGAAAGATCCTAGCATGATGGAGACTTTTGGAAAATACAGAAATGAAAAAGCTATGTATTTGTGCTAATTCTTGTCTGATGTCTTCTCTTCTATTCTTCTTTTTAACACATAAATTTGTTTTGTCTTCTTCCAGAGCACTTCTGAATATATTTTTCTCCTGCAGCTGTAGAAAGTGCTCTGCTGCAACAATTCCCAGCTTTATACTGGCTTTATGTGTTCCTAAAAAGATCTTATGTTACATATTCTTTTTCTACATGAAAATGTTGAAGGAAAAGGTTCAAAACCTATATTTTTTCTCATCTGTAAAGATTTGATCATCTTCTTCATAAACTATCTGTGGCTTTGTGTCCTTTGACCAACCAGGACTTTTCACACCCTCAGAAAATGTAGTTATCCACTGCAGTTACGTGACTCTTCCTCTTGATTTGGGATTTACCCCAGCATTCTGATTACAGATAGCATTACAGGGTACACTTTCTGGTCACTCCTATGGAAGTCCTTCCTAAATTTTGAGGAACTCACTGTAAGTGTTACTGTATTCCTGAGACCTGGCTTGGTGGAACCATGGCCGTTGCTGCCTCTGTTGAACACACAGGTTGTGCTTTTGGTTTTCATCCAAGTACTTGTGAATCTCTGACTCATCTGCAGTGAAAAGCTGCTTAGCATGAACTCTAGCTCATCCAGATCTTTTCTTCTGAGACTGATGTGTGCTTTGCATCTGATTTCCTAGTATGAGTCAGTTAAACTTAGTATAGGTCTGTGCGGGCATAATTTTAGAAGAGTTGGTCTGTGTCTCTTACTCATATCACTTTTTCTTTTGTTGTTCTGTGGTGAGGCTGGTAAAGTCCCGCTCTTCACACTGGTCTTTTTTCAGATAGTAATCAAAGCTGTGGCTGGTTTTGTTGTTACAGAGGTGTATATCATTTCTAAGTTATCTGCTAGTAGTTGGGTTTTTCAACCATTTTTTTCCCCCCAGCATTTTAGTCTTTGAACATGTTCTATATTCAGTTCAATAGCATTTATGCACATATAGAGTCAAACATATATTTCAGTCCTTTCCTGAACTAAGATAAGCCTCTGCCATTACCTGAGGGCTGTGTACTGCTGCTTGTACCAAATATATCATTCACAAAAGGAAACCGGTTTTTGGATTTGAAATCACAGACCCCTTGAAAGAAAACTTAATGATAGTACATTCTAATTCAAAACCATAAAAATGCCTAAGAAAATAAAAAGCTACTTTCCAGAATCAGAGAGAGGTGTTTTCCACAGGATATCTCACAAGTATTACCCTTATGATCAGTCTACATTGATGAAGGAACTCTTGGGCTCTTTGACTCTTTTCAGATTACTTGAGATACTCATGTCTGCAGTGCTGCATAAATGATTATAGTCCAATCTTCTGTGCTTTATATTTGCTAGTTAGCACTTGTGCCAAATATTTAACTTATTGCTAGATAGATACTTAGGCTTTAATTTTAAAGTTTAACTTTACTAGAAGCAAAATTTTCTGAATTAACTTAATTTTAAAATCAGAAAAAAATATAAAGGGAGTAGTTTTTTTTTTCTTTTTATTAATGATGTTTATTAGAATATTGTAGTAACCATAGTATATTCATATCTGGTCATGTTTTTTCTTCACAGCGTTATTCAACCTTATACCAGTGGGACTGCGCGTTGTTGCTATCCAGGGTGTAAAGACTGGGTTGTATATAGCCCTAAATGGAGAAGGTTTCCTCTACACATCAGTAAGTACCTTTCTGAACTGTGTTTAAGAGGCACAGCTGAAGTTGAAACCTACATGGGATTGCGATGCATATTCACTTTTAAGATGTTCTATAAGGTCCATATATGTATACACATGTACTACACACACCTGTGTACCCATGTATGTATGCAGCTTATCTATAAATGGGATATAGTAGAAATTACTTTGTGCTATGTATGAAAGTCTGCATGTTAGAAATCCTGAAAAAAACATTCCGTAGAGCTTTTCTGCTAGGCTATACTGGTAGTGTGCAATACACCACAAAGATTATTATTTTCAATTAAATTCTCCAGAATTTTTAAATAAAGACCTGTAATTATTTCCTTAGTGACTTGTTGATCAGAATCCAAAAGCTGCTCCGACAGTTACTTTTATTGATATGGCTTACAAATGTAACTTCCATCTGAAAAGTCATTAACAGCTTTACAGTTTGTCATCGTAATCTTGTAATTGTATGCTTAGCATTATTGATTTTTTAATTTATTTCAAATATCAGGAAAATAAAGAATTCTGTGAGGCACTGTATCTTTGTAGAATGATCAAAGTTTAAAAAATAATCTTTTGAGTCACAAACAAGACTTCTGGATAAAGGGATCGGAAATTCCTCAGATTGTTTAAGATATTCCAAATGATTTAATGCTAATCAATCAGTGCGTTGGGAATATAAAAATCCTCAGTTTTGTTTAAATTTACTGGCTTAAACACCTTTGAAAGGCAAACAGACTTTAATATGAACAGGCAGTTCTGTCAGGTATTAACAAGATGGCTTAAAGGATTTTTCATTACTATATTTTTATTGCCAACTATGTTGAATTTATTTACATAGGGCTTTTTCTATTTTTTTACGTCACATAGTTCTTTATTCCCCATTGAATTACAATACTCTGCTTTGTTTTCAATGTCCATTGAAAGGAAATTGGACAGATTAAGTTTCTGATGCCCTGAGGGAAAGTATTCTGTTTGTTTCAAATACTCAATTGTCTTGGAAAAGCTGATTAGGAAGAAATAATGGAACTAATCTTGAATGTCAATGTCATGACAAAGAGAAAATTCCTCCTTATAAAATGTCTTCTGGAAGTATGATCTAAACCATTTATTTTCTTCTGTTCAAGATAAAAAATTTCTATCATAGGAAAACATGCAGTATTTTCTGTTGGAAGGAAGAGAACTAGAATCAAAAACCTAGAGCTATTAGAGAAAATGCACTGCTGGCTACCCATTTCTGTCACTTCATGTGGGGAGTTCATTTCAGTATGATGGCATGATCAGTGCTTTTTAAATGTACAGTTAAGAATACATTCTTGTCCAGCACTGTTTCTGAAGTGAGCCCTTCAGAAAGAGATATAAATCTCAGAAAACGTACCAGATTCCTGGCAGGTAACTCTGCACAGGGAGGGACCCTACATGAACAAATTTTGGCAGCTGATGTTGCTATGTATTGTTCTGGAAGTGGTCTCAGTTAAATGAATGGTGTCATCTAGGGAAGGGAAAGAAGTACAAGGCAAGATAAGAAGAGATGGCTGGATCCAAACTTCAAATAGATGTAAACCTGACCCTTAGAACATCCTTAGAACAAGATGCTTCTGTCACACCAGTGAGAATCTGAATTGCTTTGTTCCTATGTCTTCTTTTTGAGCAACACAGATTACTTAGGGTGTGGTCAGTCTCATGGATATAAATAAAAGATTATGTATAAGGATGATGTTATCCACATGTTTAATGTTTTGCAGGATTGCATATTCTTCATTGCCACTAATGGACTTGATGGCTTCGTATATTCCTGTAGTTACTGGCAACTTTTTAAATACTTCTGATTTGTTTTGTGAACATTGTGTTTTGAGTGTATTTCACTTAAAAATGTCTTAGGAGAGTGTTTCAATCTGTCACTTTACCTTGTCTGAGGTAAGGATGCGAGTATTTTTGGAATGTATTTGTGGAGAATGAAAGATGAGTGGCCCATTAAGTGACAAAGAGATAGAATCATAAAATCATGATTTAAGATCATCAAGCTCAACCATCAACCTAACACTGCCAAAACCAGCGCTAAACCATGTCCCTAAGCACCGTGTCTGCCTGTCTTTTAAATACCTCCAGGGATGTGACACATTAGAAAACTGAGTGGAAGCCTTTAGTTTTGATATGTCTACAAAATGATTCTCAACTTACACTTTTGTCAAGTTAAAAAGTAGTAATATTTGGTAATCTAATGGAAATCTTAAAAAGATTTCAAAACATCAGTAGTGCAATACAGGTTTGATTGTTTCCTATTAATGTATTGAAAACAATGACAATATATTTTTGTCTTAGCGATTGCCTACTTTCAGCTTAGAGACTAATGCATTTGAAAATAAGACAAAGCATCAGAGAGAAGTCTGACTTCTCCCTGAGGATCAAGATGAAGAAATACTATGTGCAGAATATTTTGAATACTGTCATTTGTAGAAAAATGTTTTTAACCAATCGTTTTCTATTACTGTCTTATTGGTGGAATTTTTTGACTCTGTCACTGTTGTGTATCTGTTGCACCTGCAATGCAGTTCTGTCTTACATGTCATATATGTTTTTCCCTTGGATGTTCAGGGGAGGATGTGAGAAAAAAGTTCGCAAGTTTCATATGCCAACAGTCATCATTGAAAAAAACTGCCATATAATGGGAATGCTAGTTAAAATTTACATCGATTTAAATATATTAGCAATTTCTTATAAACATTATAAAAAAAGAAAGGAAGCGTGCATTTTAGACTTAATAGCCTTTATAGACTGAGACTGAAGTCCTGTATAGTCCTTCTCTGCAGAATACCTCAGCATTCCTTTTTCCATTCACAGTATATGAAATCCGCAGCTTGTGAGAATATGCTGTGCATTGCTGCTGTTGTGGTTTGACTCCAATCAGTAACTAGGACCAAGCAGCCACTCCCTCACTCCCCCCAGCTGAGATGGGAGAGAGAATGAGAAGAGTAAGCATGAGAAAAAAACTCGTAGGTTGAGATAAATGCAGTTTAATAGGTAAAGCAAAAGCCACATACAGAAGCAAAGCAAAACAAGGAATTCATTCACCACTTCCCATCAGCAGGCAGGTGTTCAGCCATCTCAGGAAAGCAGTAATGGTTACTTGGGAAGACAAACACCATAACTACGAACATCCCCCCCTTCCTTCTTCTCCCAGCTTTATATGCTGAGCATGACATCCTGTGGCATGGAATATCCCTTTGATCAGTGTCCCCTCCCAACTTCTTGTGCCCTCGCATCCTGCTCACTGGTCGGGTGGTGTGAGGAGCAGAAAGGACCTTGAGAATTTAGAAACAACCAAATGCATCAGTGTGGTATCAATAGTGTTCCCATCCCAAATCCAAAACTCAGCCCCACACAAGCTGCTAGCAAGAAAATTAACCCTACCCCAGCTGAAACCATGACATAAGCCTCCCTTCAGAGATTGAAGGCCCCAACTCAATTATTTTTATCATCAGCTTCACATGATGTTGATTAATCAAGCAACAGCACTGACAAGAATGGTACTCGGTAGGAGCAAAATGAAGGTACAGTGATAGACCAGTTTTACAAATAGATTACCAAATGCAGATTTGCTTTGTTCTCTTGCTTTGGTTTTTTTTTTATATATTTTTTGGTTGGTTTTCTTTAATCTTTTTTTTAATGGCCGTTTGTGTCATTTTGGGAGTCTCTTGGTATTTTTCTTATTTTATTCTGCTATATTTAAGATTCAACTAATTCATCAAATTAGGGTTGGTTTTCTTTAATCTTTTTTTTTTTTATGGCTGTTTGTGTCATTTTGGGAGTCTCTTGGTTTTTTTCTTATTTTATTCTGCCATATTTAAGATTCAACTAATTCATCAAATTAGAACTAGGAACAAAGTGCAGAAATATCATAGAAGAGTGTTATGGCAGTATTTCTTTCTTAGAATGGCAATAAAAGGACAGCAAATTGGGTAGTAAAGTCAGTCTCAAGTGCTTTTCCTACCTATTTTGCCTGCTGCATCAGTTGAGACATGTATTCTTCCTTCAGGGATTGACTGAGTCTCGGTCCCTAACACACACCATCAAAGCCTTGTCAAATAAAGGAGAAGCAAAATCTTTGGACTTTGATAAGGCTTTGCAGAATTCCTGAGAGAAAATATTTCTCCACAATTATAACCTTATTTTTAAATGCATTTAAAGTAATTATTTTAATATCATTTGTTATTTTCTATCATATTTTATATGAGGACAAGAGCCTTTTCATGTTCTTTTTTTTCCCTTGCACTTTTAAGGGTTAGCCCACTTAAAGACTATCCATTAAGCTCACCCTTTTTGACATTTTGGCTTATTGAATCCAATTTTATTTCTGTGTGTATGTACACCTATACTTGTATATGTATATCCATATATATCTACTCATAATTAGGATATATTTATTTAGTGACAGCTTCCCAATTCTAGATGAATGTTAGTGAGCAATGAGAATTATAAAACAGAGTTGAGATTTATTTTAGATGGATTAATGAACTGTGAATAATTCAGTGTTTATGACTGACTTAATCACTGTGAAAGCTAGTTGGAGAAGCTGGATTTTTCCACAAAGAACCATCTTAGTTACTAGCAAGATTTTTGATGTAGTAGTTATGAACTGCTATTTGTTAAAGTCCAAAAATATGCCTTTTTCCTTTCTTGCCTTTGGAAAGGGTGGGCAAGACAAGGCTTTATTTCCAGGGTTGATTCTGTAAAAATCAAAAGGAGTGGAACTGGCTCCATGCACTGAAAAAAACGAGTGCAGCTGCGGGGATTCTCCATGGGGAACAGGTATTGCCTCCAGCAGGAAGATGGCAGTGCAGTACATGGCAGCAGCTTTTGTTGGTCTTGATGCTAATTTTGGCAAAAGGTTATTAGTTCAGCTTCCAGGTTTTGCTTCTAGGATTTTTTTGGCTATCGTAACAGGATGAACTCAGAGGTAAAGCTCATAATGTAGCAAAAAAATTAATTCCTAAC